GGTCTTTTGAGTCTTTACGTTGGAGAATAGTTAAGATTCCAGATTCCCAAAAAGACTGAAATGAAGCCTGGCTTGCTCTCAGTCTGTCCGTTGATTTTTTGATTCCCGTTATTACAGAAGTGCCAAACTCCTRGATTTAGCACATTTACGATTCTATAATAACGGGAATCACTCAATGATCAGTAAATTTGATCTGCCGTGTAACTACCGTACGTGTTTACAATAAAGAGTGAGCTTATTCACTATCTACTCGTGATTTAGGCTCAGAATTGGAATCAATTGGCCTTTTCGAGATGATGTGCATGTAAACAGTGTGAGGATAAAACACAATCACGAGTAGCTAGTGAATAACCTCACTCTTTAATGTAAACCACGTATTATCATACACTAAGGAGCCTATCAACATTTCGCAGGTTATGAGCAACTTCACGACTTACCTCATCACCTCATCATCATCAAACTAAGTCTTCTACATGAGTGGACGAATCTAATACTTGTTCCCTCTAGCGGAGCCGCTTGGAGCCCAGAACCGGAGCCCCGAACTGCGGACATTCCGCAAGCTGCGGAAAATTCGGGGAATTCGGAACATACTTTACATACTGCGTCCCGTAGAATTCTACTATACAAAACTGGATTCACTGACACCGAACAGCAGTACACCGAACCCTCCGAACCCCCAGAACCTCAACTAAACTGACTATGGATACTCTGACAAAACCATAGTCGACAACACCACAACAATCATAATAGTAATCTCATTGAATCTCAACAATGACACGATCAACCCGTAGACAACCCCGCAACACCCAGCGGAGCACACGCCGCAGCCCACAGCCACGCAGCACACGCCGTAGCCCGCAGCCACGACACCATGGCACCATGGACAGATACTTAGTCCACACATCATCCGGGGATGGCAATACCCGACCAAGTCCCCACCACCAACAACGTTTCACAATGACCCCCTACCATGGAAATATCCAGCGCGAAATACGGGCCATTCAACTAATCTTCCCACGAGATTCAACGAATCGAATCTACGATGACAAGCTCTTTGCATACAAGCCCAAACGCCCACCTAATGCAACTCAATACAAACACCACCTAACTGTTATCCATAGCACAACTCTCAATGACACTGATAAGATAACAGCCCTGGGCGATAATCTTATGGCCCTCATCCACCATAATCACTTCAGTAGACCACAGAGCACATCCCCAACCGCATCCTTCCCTCGATACAAATACAGCACGTCCCTAATAGCATTCATGGACACCCTTCTTCCTCCGGATCAGGAAACTCCCGTAATGAAACTATCGAATCCCTACAGACCGTTGGGTTTGGATGAGGGCTTGATACGCATTTTCATCACGCATTGGTGTTGGGAGTTTGCGAGTGTGATGATGTTGAAGTGACCAACCATGGTGGGATGCAATTTTCTCAATATATGTTGCACAGTGAAGGTGATTGTAGTACTTGGTTTGGTTAACATGTATACCATTGAATTTCCTGATAGTACCAAGGACATTGAGGGGATTGGTCATTCGTTGTTGGATTTGGTCTCTAATTGTATCACACACGCTGGGGTCTGTGTTAGCAATTAGGAAATCATCCACCTGCCGGAGGATAAGTGTGAGGCCAGTATCGTCATGTTTATAATACAGGCATGGCTCATGTGTTGTGGGGGTAAAGCCCAATTCATTAACAAGGATTTTTGAGATATACTTATCCCAGAGTCGAGGAGATTCTGGATGGCCCTGTAGTGGTGCCTTAAGTATGGGGATGACACAGCCCCTCTCAATGGGATCACGATGAAGGCATTCAGTCCACCATTGCTGAAAGGGCTCATCCACTGTCATGTAAAAAGGTGATTTAGGGGCTGGGGCTTCTGCAAAAGCATTGCCCACATCATAGCCAATACAAATCAGGTTTAGGGCTGCTGAAAGTGCCCATGTGAGCCTATGTATAGGTTGTTCAACACATGCAGCGTATGTCTCAGCGAGTGTTACAGCTTTGCCGTATCGTTTGCCTCCGTTACATGTGCCTCTAGATTTCGGTTCAGCCTCTCCCGTAAGTGGGTTTTCCTTATCAATGTACGTCCAGACCCAGGGGAGAATGGTCTTATCAGCCGAAGCTGGGACTGGGTGGCCAAACATGCCTACTTTATCATATCGGTTAAGTTGTTTCCATTCGGATTGAAGAAAGCCCTCCCATCTGTCAGTTTGCATAAGCCTCCGGCGTGTGAGTTTGGCGAGGTGTATTTGATAGTTAATAGTATCAGGGGAGTCCATAAGTGTAGGCCAGTCGGATTTATCCTTCCATAGGTCCTGGGGAGCCTATCAACATTTCGCAAACAGTGCATCCAAAGCAATTTTCAATTTTCAAATTGATCGAAGTGCGCTTCAAAACACTAATACGAAAGCTTCCTCCTTCAATTCAGCTTTCAGTATTTCCTAATTTCCTTTAATCATTCAGCGCACCAGTCTTCCTTGTCAGAAGGAAAAATCCGACGGACGAGGAATAGGAAAAAGGGAGCGAGGAAGAATGCACCGATTTTCGAAACGACAGCTGCTGCTATGGAAGANTGCGCGGGTGGCTGCTCTTGGTGATAATTTGCGGGGGTTCCATACTCTATGGTACTATTGAGTTATTTCTATTGTGATACGACCAACAATTCTTCTCCGTCACTTTTCCGGCATACCATTTTGTGCTCTATGAGCGAAGACAGTGTCAGGTGACAGCAAGTTTTCGGTTCACAAAAATCCAGCTTCCTCATACTTGACGTACCGGTACCAGTACCCAAGTACGTAGTACTCGTATTGGTATCTCGTATTAGTTGCATCAGAAAGGTATCGCCAAAAAACTGGTACTCGTACCGTAGTCAATGATCAGTAAATTTGATCTGCCGTGTAACTACGTGTTTACAATAAAGAGTGAGCTTATTCACTATCTACTCGTGATTTAGGCTCACAATTGGAATCAATTGGCCTTTTCGAGATGATGTGCATGTAAACAGTGCATCCAAAGCAATTTTCAATTTTCAAATTGATCGAAGTGCGCTTCAAAACACTAATACGAAAGCTTCCTCCTTCAATTCAGCTTTCAGTATTTCCTAATTTCCTTTAATCATTCAGCGCACCAGTCTTCCTTGTCAGAAGGAAAAATCCGACGGACGAGGAATAGGAAAAAGGGAGCGAGGAAGAATGCACCGATTTTCGAAACGACAGCTGCTGCTATGGAAGAATCGGTGCTGCTTGTTACATACGCCATGTATATACGGCAACAAGGTTGACATTGCCATTGTGTCCAGGCGAAGCCTTTCTTCGACGTTACAGTTAAATCCAACACTCGCTCAAAACAGTTTGTGGATACAGCAGCAAAGACCACGACCTTTCGGAAGCGCATCCTTGATCCAGCCTCCCTATTCGTTGCCATTATCTCTCCCCAACCCTACGGTGGTGTACTCGGATAACCATCTCTTGGCGATCAACAAGCCTGCGGGGTGGCATTCTGTGCCAAACATACCGAAGAAACGGGGACGCAAAACCAATAGCGGTAGGGGAAATGATGATAGCAATGCCATCTCGTACAAGAACAATGTCAGTAGCAGCAGCAGCAGCAGCAAAAAGTGCTTGCTCACGCACCTGAAATCGAGGGGACTGGGAGGGGGGAGCAACGGAGATTTCCTTCTACCACTTCACCGAATCGATCAGCCGTGTACCGGACTATTGTTGTTTGGGAAAACGAGCAAGGCTGCCTCGAGGGTCACCGCCGTATGGAAGGGGAAGATAAAGAAGAAGAAGAAGAAGAAGAAGAGAAAAAAGGACCAGCAGCAGGAGGAAGAGAAGCATCAAATAAATAGCAACAATAACGATAGCACAATTGATAGGGGTGTTTTGAAGGAGTATTTGTGCGTAGTCCCAACGCTGCGGCTCGCTGCAATGGAAGAAGTCTCCCTGGCGGCAACAGCKCGCTGGAGCCGATTGGAGGGTTTGATGCTGCGGCCATCCGCTTCTTCGACCTCCAAGGAGCTTTACGGCATTGGCACCCATCGCCGGTGGCAGCAACAAAAGTATTACAACAGTCGACGCCGAAAAGGAAAATCCGTGAAGATTGTGCGGCGATGGCACGACAAAGAAGGCGAGAGTAGAGAACCAGAGCACAAAGCCTTTTACGAGTATAACCACTCCACAGATCACGCTATAATGCGACCCGTAGGTGTCGAATGGAGGGTGGTAGATGTCCCAGGAATGGATCCGACATGCTCCCTGCTCCTGGTGCGGACCTCAGAGGGTGCGAGGCACATGGTTCGGGCTCTGTTGGCTCAGGTGGGGGGCTGTCCTATCGTTGGGGATGTCCGATACTGGACAAATCGGAAACGGGAGACTGGGGCGAYCCAAAGCAGCATTATTGACGGTGAAGACAACGCCGACCGGGCTGTCCCTCTCDGAGACCGATCCGTGGCTCTACATGCCTATAGTGTGTCCTTCGATGAACGAAGGCTCCAGCTTGGGAGCCTTGACATATTCGAATTTCGGGCCCCGATCCCTGAGACATGGAAGTCCTTTTTTGGTATTGACAACAGTGACATCGAGGGCTACCTGCGTGAAACTGACTAGATATGGTTTATTTCGTGGTAAATTAAGCTGGCAC